TAAAAGATGTGTGTCATTCAAGGCATTTTTCCTAATAAATACACTGTTTCATCACATACTATGAGAACATGATTTCCAAATCAGCCCACAGTGAGTTTATGGATTCATTCACTGCTGGATGTTTATTGATCTGTGTGCTGTGTTTGAGTGTGTGTTTATTTAAAGGCTCACAGCATGCAACTTTTCTAGTGGAGAGCCTAGAATATTCCAAACATATCTTAATGGAGACAAGCAGGTGATAACCAGGCCAAGTTACAGGTCAGATCTGTGAAGAGACAAGATCACACTGAATAAGAAGTTTTTTAAAGGTATTATTTCATTGATTTCATTTCATTGATTTATTTATTTAAAAACACCTGTATGCAAAAGAGATATGTTTGATGTCATTATGTGGAATACATTTGCAAAGTCATAACATCTCCATGAAGACAATTCATTAAAAAAGTTACCTTTAAGAGAAAAATGTCATGTCTGATTACTTGTTAACAGAATAAGCTCTTTCAGTGAAGCTGCTTTAAGCTTCAAAGTGACCACCATCTATATCCACTTCTTATCTATGGCTTTCAGAGTGATGAAACATGAGCACAATTGCCAAAGCATTGGGCAATTCAAAATAGAGATATTTGGATTTACAGAGTATTGGCTATCAGCCTAGAGATAGCATAGAATGTGACTATACAGCTCTGTTATTAGAGGTAAAAAATTGGCTTGGGGGGAGTTTGTAGTAAATTTCAACAACATAATTTGATGAAGATAATCCAAATCGTCCCCTGCATATCGGCCCAAAAATACCGGCAGAGCTTCTCAACCATCGGTTGTTCTGTATCCCAAACAATCGGCATTGATATTGACTATTAAAAAAAATATATCAGTCAATCTCTCATTCAAAACAAAATAATACATAACATTTTGATTTCAAAAGTTGAAAGCTATGAACAGCAGATGTACAATATTTCTGACAGGGATGATAGAAACGAGCTGTGTGTATGTCGCCAGTATTCAGAGTAGCCAATGAAGTCACAATCAGCTGAGGCAGTGTTCAGGGCTCTATTTTGGGCTGGACGCTGTGTCCCGTTGCTGTTGATGTGTCTGTTTGGGGCCTGGTGCGTGACGAGCCCTGGACCAGGACTGTGCTGTGACTCATATCATCAGAGCTGCCCTACATCTGAACACACCCACGTACTGTACAGGCTGGTGGAGAAATACATACATATGGGGTGGGGTAGTAACAAGATACATCAACACACTTTATCACTACTTGAGTTAAGTTACTACAATGCTCAAAGTACAGTAAGATTGTTGATGGTATGTGGGTATGATGCATAAGTACCAACAACAATCTTCTAATGTGTAATCATATCTACCCAGTTTAACTTCATTTAAATTTTTTTGTTTTGTAAAATTCTTAAAAGCATTGATTTATTTATGAAAAAATATGTTTATAGTAGCCTTGAGTAGTGCAAAATGTAGTTTAGCTTTTATATAATTGTCATACACCTGGGATATTGGTGTATTTGGTTTCAGCCCTGCACCATGAATGAGAAAGAGAATTGGTAAAAAAAAGAATGTAGGAAGAATAACATAACTAACAGCCTGGTCTAAGAGTGTCTCATTCAAGACTGTAACAGGTCTACACTCATAAATAAGGACAATAAAATGTTCAATCTAAGCAGCATTCCTGTCTCTGGACCACACCAGTCGAGAACTTAATTATGAGGAAGTGAATTATGGAGCTCATAGAAGTGAAAGGTTGCATGTCTGCCAATTACAAAGGCCACACAGAGTAGTCTCTGTAAACAAAAACAAATCTCTATTGTGCAGAAATTCTTTTTACCCCACCCAGTAGTTTATACCTGGACAGACATGTTTTGAATTTTGAAATGCCTTTGTTTTCTGTGTTAGATTAACATATGGCATAGTTACATTTACGTCTAGGTTGAAAGTGTATATTCTAAACTAGATCCTAAATTGCACATGTTTAGCCCCATAAACAAGTCAAATGTCTCTTCTACTAAGCAGTACATTTCTATCCAAACCTGACTCCATCAGAGCTAATCTTGGACTAAACCAAGTCTAAACTTAACCCTTGGACACTATATTTTATTCCATGGCTCCTCTCTGGACTAAACAAAATTGGAACAGAAGAGGGCTGCAAGATAAATCAAATCAAAATTGCTATTTGTCGCAAATCCCAAAGGCAGCAATAATCCTTATGAGATTCTCCCGCTCTAAAATGCCATAGTAGTTTAGCAGGTCATTTTTAGTCTTCTCCCAAGCGAACTACAAAATGTCTTTTCTGAGCAGCACATACCAGCCAGACTAATCTCAGACTAAAACAAGTCTAACCTTTATGGACTTGGTCTTTATGTGTGGGATCAAATAAACGGTTATTTTCATTCATATTTATTTTTTCTTATTCAACAAAAATATCACTACTTTCCATCTGCAAAAATAAAAGGTATACCACTTGTACTTTTTATTTAGTTTTACTGATTAACACTTTTATAGATCCCATGTACCACCAGAAGAGGGTTGCGGACTACAGATTGGGAAACCCTGCACATTGAGATATTTGTCTTCACACCCACACCCATGCACACACACGCACACACACGCACACACACGCACAGCAGAGAGTGGTGCTGCTGGCATGGGCAGGGAGGGCTTGCCTGGTGAGCTGTGATTAAGTTAGACTGGAGGAACAGTGGAAAGTAGGTCATTGGGCCAGCGGGTCAGAGAAGCACAGTGACATCACACTTATACAAGCATTGCTCTGCTGCGTTACACAACCTGCTACAGCCAAGTGTGTGTGAATATTTTCAATGGATTAACTGGTTTACTGTAGTGGATGCCAAGTACCACACAGGGAATATTTTGCCACCATTATTTCTCTCAAATTAGCAGAACTAAAATAAGGCCAAAGTAGATAAACAATGGCTGAAACTACAGGAGTAAACAAGTTCTAACCTGGGGCTCAGGAAATTAGGGCGAAAAAGGAAGCATAACCTAAAACAGAAGAAAACACATAGGACTAAAGTAAGAGTATAACAGGCAGTTTAAAACAAAATATTATCTTTTTAATGGGAAAAGTCCTCAAAATGTCCCCTTCTGAGTCTGACCAAATTAACTGTCTATCTGTACTTTTGTTAACAGAACACAGTCTGACGAACAGTGATCAAAGTTATTTATTTTGACAAGATCTTCAACTTTCCACACTATGATAGACTGAGGACCTTATTGGCTTTGGTTTGTGTAGCACACTTTACTCTCAAATAAAGGAAAACAAGTCACATCCTGTTATATACATCATTCACCACATGGCTCAAAGTGAGTATAGTGTAATTACATCCTGCCCCACCTCTTTATATTGTCATAAATGACTCACTCTGGTGGATTTAGTTGTATTTTCAAAATCTGTGATCTGCTCAGTATACATTTGTGGACTGTCATCCAAAGCGTACAATGACAATGAGAAATCTTTTGACTGTTGTGTTAGACTATACTAGTATTTGTTCCTCAAAAGTTAAAAGATATATATATAGATAAATATTTATTGTCTTTAAAAAATGTGACTGATTAAACAATTACTACTGTATACACTCTGTCTTTCAGATTTTCTGTACACATAATTTGTGACCGAGCCCAAAACAAGACAAAACAGAATAAATTCACTTGTAAAACTTGTAGAACAAATCAGATCTAAACTAAGACTAAATCAGGATTAAAGCAGGTTCAAAGCATACATTAACCAAGAAAAAGACTGGTCTGATCCAGTTCTTGTACCACAGATTGAGAACCCCTGCTATGTAGAAAATGTGCTGTTCTTCTCTAATTGCTTTTTGTAGTTAATTGCATGCCAGTGCGTTTTAGACTCATGACCCAAATTCAGACCCCCTACGAATGCCTGTAATTAGCTATGACTAGAATGATAAAATTACTTCAAATATTCACAGAAATATGTTGGGAGAATAAAAACTCTGAGAGCAGCTTGCGAATACTGCGTCAGCCAGACCAAAGTGCAACAGGGGTTAGTCCTCCAGCTGGAGCACAGTCATGGGTCTAAAATGTCCCGGATAACTCCCATAATGCACCATGACTTCTGCTGTATTTTATTTGTATTATTAAAGCCTTTCAATGTACTGAAGTCAAGCCAAAATATAAAAGCATCTTTTTCACATGTACTGTACATGTAATACTTATTGGATTCAACAAACCATTTGATTTGGGTAATCATATCTACATAAATGTGACTAATAGTTTTAACAGGCAATTCACAATAGACATAATGAAGAGATGGTTTTGGATGTTATAAAGTGTTGAACCTGGGACTAAATGAAAACTTATTGCATAGTCAAGTGTGATGACATATAAAAACCTTTGCCATTCATTCATTCGTATTTTGTTTATTTGACCCAATGATTTGCTTTGTGCATTTAATTTATTAATTAACACTCTAAGCCCTCAATGTTGTTTATTATAAATGATCTGTATTCATGCTTTTTTAAATGCTGTAAATTGTGTTGTTTGTAAGTGTTATTGAATCATTTATCTACTACCAGTTCAATATAAGTCTGGGTTAGTATCAGATATTTTCTCCAGGGACCTATAATGGTAGTAGTGAAGAGGAGGAAATGAAGAGGCTGAGGTGGATGATGATTCTGCTTTTGTGGAGGAGAGTTGCAGCAGAATTTGAGGACTGCGGTTATGATAAAAAAAAAAAAAAAAAAAAGAGAGCGTGTTCATTTGTACATTTTTTGATTGCTACTTGTTGCAGACTGTGATTATTGAGAGGAGATAGGAAGATTTTGTTGAATATATGGTGTACTATATATTCTCTAATATTGGACAGCCCTCCAACAAAGCACTGTGTAGTATTTGGCTCTGTGTGAATACAGGATGTGTCAGTATGTAGGAGGTGAACAACTGTGGTTGACACATTTTGCTTGTTCATAATCTTGCTACATTCTCACATTATTTTCTGTCTTTGTGTTTTATTTTAGTTGCTGCTACTCTGTACCTGACCCACAAAGTTGAAAAGAAGATTGCTGCTTCTTCGAAAACCTTTTGGAAAAACCTTTAGCCTCTGAGATACATTTGGTGAGTCAGATTCAAGACGCACAGATTTCAGCCACTCCTCCTCCTCTCACTGGACTGGCAGCAGCAAGTCAGTAAAGTAAGACTGTTACACTTTTTAATATTTAATTTCATGGTGTCTTGTTATTATGACTGTAGTTAGTTATTATATTTTGTTAGGTTTCACAAATGTCTACCTCAAGATTAAAAGACCTCTCTCGAACACTACAACGGTGAACAGGTTACAAAATGACCTCCAGCATTGACCAGTAAGTACTGCATTATATTTAAACATTAAACATTTTATAACCAAAGATTAAGAAAGGTCATATCACGGTGTACATAATACCTAATACTGTTCAAATATATTATTCAAAATTCAAGTGGCAAGTCTGTTTTTTGTTCTGTAGGGATGACAGTATCTTTGGGTTAATGGAAGAAGATGAGAAGGACAAAGCAAAACGGTAGAGTTTCTATACTTAAATCTGAATATACTTTGGTATCTTTGTGACCTGCTAAACATCTTCAGTTGCTATAAGTGAAAGCTGAATGAGAGTTTTATGATCCATGTTTACATGTTCAATTTTAAAGGTCCTATATTAGGTTTTTTATTTTTATTTTATCTAACCTGGCACTGATATTTAACCTTTTACAATTTAAAATAGTGTAAATGCGAAATGGTTATTGCTGTGTTTGTCTGAATAGTGTGTCCAGGAATAAGTCGGAGAAGAAACGGCGAGACCAGTTCAATGTCCTCATCAAAGAGCTGGGCACCATGCTGCCGGGGAACACCCGAAAGATGGACAAGTCCACCATTTTACAGAAGAGCATCGACTTTCTGCATAAACACAAAGGTGAGTGTTAAGAGGAGGGTCTGTCTTATATAGTAAGATATGACATATTAATCTCAATACTGTTTGTGTCTTTTATTAGAAATTGCTGCACAGTCCGAGTCTACAGAGATCAGACAGGATTGGAAGCCTCTATTTCTTAGTAATGAAGAATTCACCCAGCTGATGTTAGAGGTGAGTTGAAGAATAGAAAGATTCTTGTCTGCTTGTTTTGGGAAAAATAAAGGAAACACACGCTTTTTATTCAGGCTTTAGATGGCTTTTTCTTGGCGATCATGACTGATGGGAATATTATCTACGTGTCTGAAAGTGTGACGTCACTACTGGAGCACTTACCTGTAAGTCAATCTGTACATCATTATTACCTGTTTAATTACTCACCATCTTAGAAACAAAGTACTAAGTCAACTAACAAATCGTTCACTGCTTGTTTCAGTCTGATCTTGTGGATCAGAACCTGTTGAACTTCCTGCCCGCTGGCGAGCATTCAGAAGTGTACAAGGCTCTGTCCTCTCACATCATGGAGGGGGAGACGCTGACGCCTGAGTACATGAAATGTAGGTGTGGCATTTACCGTATGTGTGTATTTGAAAAGAACTTTGTTGTTCCATTTGAACAAATTTGTCACTTGTTTTACAGCAAAAAATCAATTAGAGTTTTGTTGCCACATGCTCAGAGGGACAATCGACCCCAAAGAGCCCCCAGTGTATGAATATGTAAAGTTTATTGGAAACTTTAAGTCCCTTAATAATGGTAAGTACCATACTCATGGCATCCATTGATTTCTTTTTGTTTGTAATCAACTTAAGCTTTTTTTCTCCCTCAGTGCCTAACTGTAACCGCAACAGCTTTGATGGAGTGATCCAGAGATCGCTCCACTCTGCCTTTGAAGACAGGGTCTGTTTTGTCGCCACGGTGAGGCTGGCCAAACCACAGTTTATCAAGGTAGTTAACTTACAGTCATAGTTATGTTACCCAGGCCAACCTGTTTATGTAACAGATGTGTTAATATTGGTGTCACCTGCAGGAAATGTGCACTGTAGAAGAACCCAATGAGGAGTTTACCTCCAGACACAGTTTGGAGTGGAAATTTCTTTTTCTGGACCACAGGTTTGTCACATTTCAGATTTAATTCACGATCAGCTCAGTGTCCATTTGTATTTAGTATTGCAGTGAAGGGCTGATATTTCTGTGTGTTGTTTATCCAGAGCTCCACCTATCATTGGATATCTGCCTTTTGAGGTGCTTGGCACGTCAGGGTATGACTACTATCATGTAGACGATTAGAGACACTGGCCAAATGCCACGAACACTGTGAGTTTACTGCACCTGTTGAATGGTATGAATTCTTGTTTTGGTCTTATGTTATGTCTGTAAACTCTGTTTGTGACAGTGATGCAGTATGGGAAGGGAAAATCCTGCTACTACAGGTTTCTGACCAAAGGGCAGCAGTGGATCTGGCTCCAGACACACTATTATATCACATACCATCAGTGGAACTCCAGACCAGAGTTTATCGTTTGCACACACACAGTCGTGAGGTACAGCATGGGGGACACACTATCACACCATACAGGTTTAATTTCTCCTGTTTATTTCATTTGGATGTTTGTGTTGACAGTTACGCTGAAGTCCGAGCAGAGCAGCGTCGGGAGCTGGGAATAGAAGAATCTCCACCTGAGATCACTGCCGACAAGGTACAACAATATTATACAGAATACTATACACTGACCAGTGTGAGTTATGACAGTAGGTGGTGTACAGTGTTAGGGAGCAAGGCTAAAATGTTAGAAGATAAAAAATGGGCAGACTTCTACAAGGGTGCTTAATTTGCAGTGGTCAATCAAAATACTTTAAAGGACTAAACAGTAGTAAATTGCTGAAAGGTGATGTAGGTAAAATAGCTAATAAGTTCAACTAGATCAAATAGATATGTTTCTAAAGAAATATTGCCCATAATATTAAATGGCATAAAAGGCTGAACATTCAATTAGGATGAACAATGATTGAAGTGGTTACAATTGTTCTGTATTTACTGTGGTAATCATTGTGGTGATCTTGAAAAAGTCTTTCTCTCCTCCATTGCAGTCCCAGGACTCTGGCTCAGAGTCTCAAATCAACACATCGAGTCTCAAAGAGGTTCTGGAGCGATTCGACCACAGCAGGACACCCTCCGCCTCGTCACGCAGCTCCAGGAAGTCCTCACACACGGCTCTCTCAGATCCCACCTGTGAGCATGTTCACTCTGTCCCCACACTGATGAACAAGAGTGGATAGTTTTTACTATGTGATTGAATACAGTTTAATGGTTTAAACTAGTAAAAAGGGTTAGATTTACATTTCATTCATTTTATGGACATCTAAACTACAGGTTTAGGAAGGTTCTCTGCAAATTACATTATATGAACAAAACTACTGGAGTGTTAGATTTGCTAAACAGAACTTGTTTTACTTGTTTTCCCAATAAGTACATCATTTATCATTATTTTAAACCCTACTTTGACTCTATACCTCGTGTGCTGTTTAGACGTGTTTTGATCCTGATTGTTCCTCTGTGCAGCCTCTCAGATGAAGGCGCAGGGCGAGCGCAGCACACCGGGTCGCCAGTCCGTCTCTGCCGTGGAGATGACATCACAGCGCAGATCGTCTATCAGCAGCCAGGTCAGGAGCAGAGCAGAGGGATAACATTTCAGAATCAGCCTGTTCAGGGTCAGTAGGGATTAAACCAGGGATAAAGCCACTAAATGCTCTTCTTTTTCTGGCCTCCTTCCTCGTTTTGTGCCCGATGTCTGGTGTTCTATCAGCAGTCCATGAGCTCACAGAACACAGGGCAGAACATGACCACGACCATGGTCTCACAGCAACCAGCACAACCTCAACTACAACAGGTGCAGACCAGTGTACAGGCAAGACACTCAACACATTCTTTAATGGTTCATCTTTAAATCCATATTGTTTTGTATATATTTATATTTATAACTAACTTAAATTTTCTATACTAAGTGTGAGCAAGTGTTTTTTTTTCTTTATCCTGATGTATGCATAAGAGGAAATGCAAATTGTAATGGCTAGACAAGTAGGTCAGATCAAGTGGACCATGATAGGAACCACTGACAGGTAATCTACATGCTTAGCCTGTGTGTAGGCTGTGAACGAGACAGGTGGTCAAACAGTTATCAGCACTCATATTGTATATCAGATGTAAAAATTTAACTCATGTTTGAATGTTTTTTTTTCTCTCCAGTCAATGGTGCAGTTCTCAAACCAGTTAGAAGCCATGCATCACCTGAAGGAGCAGCTGGAGCAGAGGACGCGGATGATTGAGGCAAACATCCAGAGACAACAGGATGAGCTGAGACAAATCCAAGACGAGCTACAGAGGGTCCAAGGACAGAGTCTGCAGGTCTGTGCCACTAAAGACAAGATAAGATTCAAGAAGACATATTTAGCATTTAGTAAATAGGATATCACAACATGGATAATTATTTTGTTCACTTTAAATGCCAATACTGATATGAAAAAATATTATAATAGACACAAAAACTACAGAACTGATAGGCCTCGCCTCTCAATAGTTTAATTTCACTGTAACAAGCAGCAGATTTTCATTAATGTCATTACATTTTTTAACCCTGTATGATTTGGAGTTGGAATTTTGGAATAATTCAAGTAAATGCCGAGCAGTGGGCAGAGGTTAAAAAAGACACTTTCTGAGCACTCAAATGCAGGACACTTGCTGAGTTGCAAATGGCATCGCAACATGTATAGGCCAAAATGATTTAATACAGATGGGGGGGCAGCTAAAATTCATGCAGTTTTTTGTTCATGGGCCTAGTCAATTATAGATATGATCAGGTTCCACATTTGTGATTTTACCTTTTGTTTATGTATTTCATGGCAAAGTGTAATGTTATTAACAGGGAAAGCTGTCTCTTACCCCAACAGATCTATTATCATGTCTTGAGTTATGCTATATGTGCTATGTTACAGATGTTCTTACAGAAGGGAAATGGAGGCCTCACTTCTGTCCCAATGTCCCAGAATACCGTGCAGCAGGGAGGAGCTCTGAACATGCAGGTCCCTGTGTCGTCTGGGACTCTTCAGAACAACATACAGCAACAGCAACAGCAGCAGCAGCAACAGCAACAGCAACAGCAGCAGCAGCAACAGCAACAGCAACAGCAACAGCAGCAGCAACAACTCTCAGTCCAACCCCAAACGCAGCAACAAGCTTTAACACAGGTGTCAACAAACTTCATGTACCTACAAGTGCCGGTGTGTGGTGTTGACAATTTTGGACAGTAATGCCAACAATTATTACGTTTTAGATTATTAGACAAGATCATTCATAAATTAATCTGTATTTACTTGTGTTTATGAATGTGTTTTGATTATTATAACTAATTTGAATAAAATGTAAATGATGTTTCAGCCTCAGCGACCGTCCCTGCCTTTACCTCCTCAACAGAACTCTCTCTCTGCTCCACTCTACAACACCATGATGATTCCTCAACAGAGTCCCGCTAACGTGGTCCAGATCTCCTCCTGTCTGGGTCAGAACACGGGACCAACCGCATCAGCTGTAACTACTTTTGCACAAGACCGGGCTGCTCAGATAAGGTTTATACTTTTGATAATGCTTCTACTCTTCATATAAGTAGTATTATTATTTCAGTGTATCGAACCATAGAGTCTAGTTGGGCTATGTAGCAATTCCTTTGTTTTTCTATGGAATTCTATGTATATGGCTTGGAGTTTGCATCTTTTAAAGAATTGTAAGGAAGTACAGTGGGAGCAAATGTGAAAATACTGCAGGATTACTCAAACGTGCATGAACCAATCAAAACTCACAACACGGAGTATGTAAAATTTCTTTCTCACACTTCTTCATTTCTTGATGTGTTTATCCTGACAGGTTTCCAACGGCCCCACAGCTGCTGACAAAACTAGTGGCAGGGCAGATGGCGTGTGGAGCGGTGATGGTGCCCACTACCATGTTCATGGGACAGGTGGTGACAGCTTTCTCCCCTCAGCAGGGACAAGCCCAAACCATCAGCATCTCCCAGCAGCAGCCCGAGCAGGTTCAACAGTCCCAAGTCCAGCCCATTCAGCCAGGACAGGGAGGACTGGGACAGCAGCAAGCACAGTTCCTCCAGGTAAGCATCATGTGTATTTTATTTTTATTACAAGCCTGCTTTTTGACTCAAGACTGATTTTAGAAATTTGTCTCTTATTATTTATGAAGCCACAAAGTAATTATTTGCATGATTCTTAAGAAGTAATTTTGTTATTAAATTATTATTTGTATTTGCCACAGCTAATACATCAGTACTTACTTACTAACTTAAGTAATAATACGATTGAGCAGCGTTTACTTGGGAGTAATATTTGACCAGGTTTAAGTAATGAACTGCACTGCTTTGACCTGTTGTCTTTTGGGTCCTTGCTAGTTTTGTTTTTATTTTATTTTGCGTTATACATTATGTGTATACTTAATAAACATTTAAAACAGAAAAAAATATCACAAGAAGGATATGTTTTTTGTTCACCCCTGAAGGCTCCTCGGCTTCTTCATGGAAACCAGTCAACTCAATTGATCCTTCAGGCTTTCCCTCTGCAGCAGCAAAGCACTTTCAGCAGCCAGGGCCAGCAGCAGCAGCACCAACAGAAGCAGATACAGACGCAAAAACAAACAGGCCCTCACCGAACAGACAGCCTCTCGGACCGGGCCACTGCACAGCCTCAGTAGCACCCATTGGAAATTGTCTGATCCTAGAAGAACTGCAGAGGGTATCCTCCTGGCTCGTCTTAGTTTCACAGTTTGCACTTATGTCTGAGATTTGTGTCCCTCCTCTCCATGAGTTCAGGCTCATGGAGGGAATATATCCAGACTCAATGGAGTGGAGCTCGTATCAAAGACAGTGCATCATTTTGTTTTTTACTGTTGTTGTTTTTAATGAGAATATAATGGGACAATACATATTTTTAAGAATGTGGTGTAGATGTATTGTACAGATCTTGATGTGTATTATATATTCTGTAAATATGTTGAAAAGAAGCTAATATTTTATATGATGCATGTAATGAAAACTGTAATCCTTTACCTTTTTTTCTAATGTTCTGTAAAATGTTTCTTAAGCTCATTGACTCATTCAGAGTTCCTTTCTCCACAGGGTGAAGCGGTTTGTGTCTGCGTAGCAGGCAGCGCTGATTGTTTATTCCTTGGCCCATTTTTAACATTATTTTATAAAATCTTAAACATAGTCTATTTTTAATATTATGCATTTAAATTTGCACATTTAAAAGTGCTACAGACTAGAGCTAAACTATAGCAGATTTTAAACTGGTAACAGCTTAAGCTTACAGTAAGATACTGTATCACACATGCTGCTGTGTTTAATCAAAGAACATTTCACATAAAAAAAGTATATATATTTACATGGCCCAATTGCAGTATATTCCACATTTAGGTTTTTACTATATTGCCAATCAACTCATAGACATATTAGGCATCACTTTTATTCACACACTTTCTCTCACTCTACCTATTTGTTTTACAAATAACAAAACAGCTTTAGCTTTAAGCTAAGATACTTTAAGCTACTTTTTGATTCAGAGCGCCTTATGAAGAGCATGGAAAAATGGGGAATGAGAGGAGATGTTTATTTTATTTTTCAAACAGTGGATTTTGTTCTGTATTGTGTTATCTACTAAACTCTGAATGTCTCATACCGATCCTTTTCTCCTGACACCTGATGCTGTTTGGATGTTTGGCTCATTACATTTATGCTCTGGTGAAGGCCCTTGGACACAATAAGGGTTTGTCCACACTAAACCCCACGTGAAGCAGAGCTGTCAGAGCAGGTGGTCTCAGTGCAGGTGTGCTGCACCTGCCCCGGTGTCACTTTCTTAAATGATCATGTTTTTTTCAGTTTGGTGTTCTGTTAGGCTAGTAGGTCTGCAATGCCATTTTTCATCTTGTGGTTTATTGCTCTGTCCAATGTGTACAATCATCTCTGTGTGACTGAATAATAACACAAGTTTCTAAAGCTGCAGTGAAAAGATTATTTTATCAGTTGATTTGTATGGAAACTGAAACATTGACAATTTTTTTGTTGTAATGGAAATTGGTCCAGGCTATAAACCAATAACATGGACAAAACTGGTAGCAATCTTCATCTACAAGTACTACAATTCAGAAAAAATCCACAAAGAACCATTTCAGTCTTTCTGAGGTGCAAATTTTTCTCATGATGTTTGTTGTTCCAGAGGTGGGTATTAGTTTGGGAAGTTTTCAATTTACTCCTGAGTAATATATTTTACAATGAGTGAAGGTTAGATTTTGGTTACTCTTGCACCACTAATTCATTTTTTTTATTTATTTGTTTTGATGCATTATAAAGCCTTTGAAAATACGAAATGTTTGGTCCTTAGAGTTACAATTATTTCATTATAAATCAGATGTTACATCCTGAGAGGTACAATTACTTTAAAGTTATGGTTCCCAATACCTTTTTACATTTACTTCTGTTGAGTTTCATGATTTCAAATTAATAATAGTCTTGAGTACAATGATTGACCAGTCTACCCACCTCTGGATTGTGCATGCCCAATTGCCCAAAGAAGGAATATATTTTCTTGCATCTCAAAAAATTGTTAAGCTTCATGGGCAGTAGTGAAAATTTTTCTTTGTATTATGTACTAGATAACAAATCCAAAATAAACACAGCACTCAAAGTATATTGAAAATATTTAAAAACAGAAATAACCTGAAACAAATAACTTGTGTTAGCACCACCTGCTGTTCAGTGTAGATAATAAGAAACAGACTCAAAACAAAATACAAGTCACCTTGTGAATACCTATGCTTTGTGATAGTGCACTTTATTTAAAATACCACTTAAATGAGTATGCAAAACATATGTTGCCTTGCATTCATTTTTGAGCCAAACCATAACTTAAAATATGGCAAATGAAAAAAAAAAAAACATTTGCTTTATTTTGGTTTGAAAATAAACTTGTTGTTTTCAAAAGTTTAAATTGTGTTTTATTAACAGGAGAAGAGGCCTTGAACATGATTTCAAAAGGTTTTATTGATTTGGATTTCACCCAACTAGTATTACAATAAGTGATTCTGAATTACTACTACACAGTGGGCGCAGACTGTCAAATATTGACAACGCGGCCATAGACTGATCCTTAAAAAAATATTTCAGTTGTTACAATGACCACTCCCCGTCTGTTTACAGAACTTTTCCCCAGAAGGAAGGGTAAATAAATAAAACTTAAATCTTAAATACAGGTGGGCACATTGCTGCTGGGAGACCAAAGGGAGTGACGTCCCATTTTAATTATTATGTAGAAAATAACTTTACTTTATTATAAGATTCAATTTTAATGAAAAAAGAAAATTTAAATTATTCAAATATTGATTTGGTTTGGAAAGTTTAATTTATCCCATTTTTATAAAAGAAAAACAAAAAGAAAACTACAGCTATAGTATGCAATCAATAGACTGCATCCATACAAGTAGTGATTTCTGGGCTTGAGCAGAGACAGTGGAGGTCATTTGCAATTTCAAATTCTATGTAGATTATGTAGATAGTTCCACACTAATTGGTTAAACATAGGATGTGGCTCCCCTTGGTGTCTGGAGAGGGGAGTTGCAACATAATACTGTAACTGAACAACACAAATTAAAATGAAAAAAATGTAAAGAATTGGTTTCAGGACTGCAGCTAAAATGTGTATTTAAAATAGTCTACTGTCCCCGGACGCAACTTAATTTAAATTTGAATTAAAATCAAAAAGGCAAAGAAAGGCTGATACAAAGAGTTTAACTGTGGACATGGACCACAGCTTTAAAACATGAACAGATCGGTCACACAGTTGAAATTACATTAGGGATCAACGGTTACCACCCATCCATAATTACAGTATGGACTTATAGACATGAAACATATAAAAGGTGTACAACCCCTTGAAACTGAACTCATATTTCAGTTTTCATCAATCATGAAATAAAACGGTTATGGCCAGTGGTTAACCCTTAGCAGAATTACAATTTACAGCCCAAATGCAATCTATTGAATTGATTTACACTGCATTTTATTAAGAGGTGGGTGGTCACCGTTGAGGTATTTTGAGCAATAATCCAGCCATTACTCTGAGAAAGTCCTAATCCCTCCCAAAAATAAGAAACACTTATATAAATGCAAAGGTCCCTCTATGGTAGATTCCACTGAGTTACAGACATTGGCTCCTGATCTGTCGGGCATTTGTAAAGCAGGATTAAAACAACACAGCAATGTACTCACATTTTACATTTATGTACAGAGTAAACCTGAATAATTTTGATCCACTCAAAGTCCAGTGTCCGGCTTGATAAAAAGAGCTGAAAGGGCAAAGGCCAAAAAGACGATTCCTCCAATGATAGTAACTGTGGACAAGCAGAAAAAGTAATAAGGTAATAATTATTTGGCAATAAGTGGAAAGACAACATTTGCAACTGCTACTCTTCATATGCAAACACCAAGACAAATAGCAATTGGTAATTTCAAAAAAACAACAAAGCAAGACTCACAGCCTGACTTTGTAAACAGGAAGCCAGGCTTGGTATTTTTCACCACTTTTTAGGTTGTTTACAGTTTATAAAATAGAAAATCATAAAATTATGTTTTGCCATCTGAATCTGGACTTTCTGCTATGAATAGTAGTGAAGGAAGGGAAACTGGGGAGTTGTCAGAAGCTGTAATTATTATTAATGTGAGCATAAGAAATGTTGTATGTGTATTTATTTACTAGGCTTATTACCTAAGCTAAAATGTTTTTTTTTTCACTGAGGCATTCAAAAGTATCCATTTGATTTTATCAGACAGGCCTCATAAGCAATAGAAAACTTCAACATTATTAGTGTAGTAGAGAACTTGCCTGTTCGAACTGAGATTTTCTGAGCAATCATTCTCCCTCCGATTACGGCCAGCCCAGTGCACAAACAGTGACCAAATGTGCCACCAACAGCCACGCCAAAAGGGTCCTGTGAATCAGAAATCAAAACAACTTCCATTATAGATAAGTTAGTTGCTCCAAAATTAATTGGGGCAATGGGGGTTTAAAAAGATTATTCTGGACATCTCTAGTCAGTTAATGTAGTATTAAGACACAAAACACATACATTTAATGTGAGGCATGAGGTACATCTAAACTATACACAGAGTGAAACCAACCTCCCGGGCAGCAAGAATGATAGTGGTCAGCTGGGAGCGATCTCCCCACTCAGCCAGGAAGGTGAGGGTGAAGGCCTGGATGAAGATGGGGGAGATAAAGCTGTGCCACTTCTTCTGAGGCAGTGGGGCTCCAGCTCCAGCCTCAATGTCTGGGGCCCCGTTCACAAGTTTTGAACGCTGCAGCTGCACACAGGAAATAAGAAAAGATATAGCATTGGTAAGTCTAATGGAAAATAACAGCTTGGTTGTCAAAAGTGTCGTAGGCCTACTAACAGCTTTAGAATTGGTTTAGTCTAGATTTATACTAGGTTATATCTTGGTTATACTTGAAATGAAATTAATTTATACAGTGGTACTTAGGCTAAAGCCTGAGAACCACTTCTTTCAACCATTGAAAAGTCAGTGAAGTTGTTTACATGTAATTATCCTTAATCCTCCAGCATACACCTAAACAGAAAATAACGTGTGTCCTCATTTTGTACTTTTGTTGCATAATTATAAGTAAAGTCTCTTTAGACAACAAAATGTTTTTAATTCATGTGATGTCGTCGTACCTCCTCATCCTTCTTCTTGATCTCTGCCTGCACCTCCTCTAGCTCCTCCTGACCCTCGTCTGGACTCATCTTGAGTCCCTCTCGCAGCATCCGGATACCAAAGATGGCAAACAAAGCCGTGGACACATAATAGGTATAGATTCGAGGTATGATGGTGGTGGCATAGCCAAAAAGCACTGTTACAAGAGGAAATATTTATCAGAAGAAGCACAATCTACACTCCAGTTATCTCGGTCCACACAGATCACTCACCAGAGAGACAAGTCATAATAGCCAGGGCCAGCATCGCCCCTGTGAGCACAGTCAGGCGGTTATAACGCATGGCCATGATGGCCGCAATGAAAAATGTCTTATCTCCCAACTCTGAGACGATGATGACAGAGAGGGAAGCCACAAAGGCATGGATGAAGCCCAGGTTCCCTTTCTTTGTGTCATCCTCAGGGCTTACTGGGCCTATGGGGCGAGTAGTTGGGCCTTTCTGCAAATAATGGACACAAAATACAACTCTAATTACGTTTTATTAATTACTGACACATTAAAATAACATAAATATTCACAACACAGCATTCAAGGAGAAAATGTTTATTACAAAATCGCCATGTAGTTAAATTAAATGTCATCAGGTTAAGGTAGTTTAATGGAAATATGTAATTCCATAACAAACAATATAGTTAATTTATGATGACCAATGAATGGTTTAAAGAACCCTCGTCAGTGCCACTTTTCACATATCCCCAGCAGACAGTTTGAGGGCAAATACTACCACTGTGTTTTATTTAAATGTGTGCTTTCTAATCTTAATCAAACTGTAACTTTCTCCTTGGACATAACCCGGAACACATAAGGTGTTAGTTAGCATGTGTTAGCTTTGAGTAAAGCAGGAGCATGAGCCGGGGCAACAATCAAGCCACAATGAACCCTTCATATGATGGTGCTTCGTGACTAATCTGATTTGATTAAGAAAGTACCTCTTGTAGTGGTTGTTCTTGAACCGGTTTGTTCTCTTCGGGGACAGCAGCGACTCCGACCAAAAGCAGCGACACAGCGAGAAGAAAGAAGAGGCGCACCACAGTCGAGCTAGCCCGTCCATCTCCTCCAACAACAAGGACGGACATTATTGCTCCCAGGACACAATTCAAGGAAATTTCAAAGTAAAAATTGGATAAGCAATCACATAATGCACCGGATTACTAAAAACTTCAACTTCAGAACAGCATCATGCATTAATATTGGTGCTCTTTGTAAATACACGTCACTGTTTAGCTGCCCGAGCTAACTCTGCTGAAGTTAGCTGCAGAGAGAGAAGTGGAGCCGCACGGGCAGCGCCATTGGCCCGACACGAGACAGACGTAACACGGGGATTGATGAGAAAGGCGTCGGACTGATCAATCATTGGCTCCTTACGCCGCCCGTCACTTCCAACTACATAAACTAGAAAAAAATAGAAGGCAATTCTTAGAAGAAAATAAATTATGCAATGGAGTCAAAGTTTCAGTCAGACATATGTATACACTGTTTTTTTTTTTGTTGTTCTTTTTTTCTCTTCACAATCTATACATATGTGTGACTGCAAAGCAAAAAAAAAAAAAAAAAAAAAAAGAGCAAAACAAATAAACAAAACAAAAAAGTACAAAAAATAAAATACCATAATGAACTGAATGAAACTATTGCATATAGGTGATGAAGGTAATAAAGGAATTGATTAGTGATTGGCTCATTGCACCACCTGTCACTCCCAACTACATAAACTAGAAAAAAAATAGAAGGCAATTCTTAGAGGGAAATAAATTATGCAATAGAGGCAATTTATCAGTCATACATATGTGTTTTTTTTTTTTTTTCACAATGTATACATATGTATGACTGCAACACCGAAAGGGGAAAACAAATAAACAAAACAAAAAAGTAAAAAAAAAAAAACCCAAACATATATATATACAATAATGAACTGAATAAAACTATTGCATAAAGGTGATGAAGCTAATAAAGGAATTATATGTCTGGATTGTATTTCTTACATGTTTCAAAGTACAAGTACACCAATAACCTATCACACTTATGTGTTGAGCCCTGATGAAGTTTCCTAGTCGAAACGTGTTGTCTTAAATAATTCAGGATACCAGATGCTTCATATAGTTTATTTATTGAATGATTTACTTTTGTTCCAGGTATCTGCACACCAATTCTCTAACTCACTGTGATCCAGAGAGCTCTCCCAGCATCCTCTCATCCAATATTGACTAATATTTACTTACAATATAGAGCAATTTGATTTTACAAAAAACAAATTAAATTAATGAAATGATGAACAAGTGATGCAAATCTTTTAAAACAAAACATATTTAATCAGTTTGAATGTACAAATGAATGGGGTAACCATGTGGAAAATGTTTTTCAGAGCTGAAAAATTATGATGTACAAAAATGTTTGACATCCCAAAATGTTATTGAATAAGACAAGACTACAACACAAAAGGTATAAATGCTTTTCTTTGTCTTGGGTATGACTCGAATTTGCACTTATAAAGGTCATGACAGAGCTGAGCGGCAAGTGCTTGGTTGAAAAAGACATAAAGAGAAACTAGTCCCCATGTAAATAGTCCTCCTGAAGCCACCCATAGTGAGATATAAATGAGAACCTCAGCAAAATAATGTGGACAGGACACAAACTCAAACCCTCCTCCTGTGGGCATTTTGTGGACCATGGTCTCAACATTTCCTGTGGAACAACAGAAAGGTTTTTAATTATGCATTCTGTAATATGGTCAATATATACCATGTTAAACATCAGAGCTTTTGTAAGTACATTAGAGATATACATTTGCACCTGATTTTCCAGTGCGTAGTTTTGCGAGCAAGACCATGGACTGATGCTGCAGTAATGAAGCAAAAACAAAAAGTGCACATCCAGCAGTGTGACACCAATTCACTTGAGAGAACAGTGTGCTACTGTCTACAAAACATAAGATACAAAGATAATGGTTTAATATTCACAGGGATTAACTACAAACATCAAGGCTATCATAGAGAATAGTAAAAATAAGGTACATACAGATAACATAGATTAACTAAAGAAGGACTGGAGAGTTAGAACATATATTAATCAGTATTTATTAATGTTTATATATACTTTATATTATTTTTTGTCATTTTCATACTCTCACCTTTTTTCGCCATATGGTCAGAGCAAAGTGCTGTCAGCCCGAGCACAATGTAATACACCAGGCCAAATAGATACTGTACAACATGAATGACTCCATCGGAGAATATACTGACAAAACAGCACTCGAGTAGTCTCCTGAGAGAGTGAAGCGAAAGCAGGAGGAGCAGCAGCAAAGTGGTGATCTGTGGGACTGGACATAGCAATGACAGCAGTGAGTAAAGATAGACAAAAGAATAGCACTACAGAGAGTCAATGAAAAATGATACACACATACAAATACAAATTTTTCTTTCTTCCTTATTTGCATGATTATTTACATTGCAGATTCTCAATTATGTCCATTCATAATGTTGATGCCTAAACTAAAGTCAAAATAACTCAAAACTTGTTTTAGATTTAAAATTATTTTAAAAAGCGACCATTATCTTTGTACCCTGGTTTACATTCCTTGATCATGACAAAGCAGAGCTGTGATGTGAACACCATTTCAGAAGACTACAGCGCGGTTAATAAAGCAAAGGGTGGCTACTTTGAGAAACTGAATATATATATATATATATATATATATATATATATATATATATATATATATATATATATATATATATATATATATATATATATATTAGTTGTGTTAGTTGTTAACTTTAACATTTTAAAACCTTTTTTTAAACATAATTCTACATATCTTGCATCATTTGATGTCTTCCATGTGAATATACAATGTCAATACAATACTATACATAAAAAAAAACCCAAAACTTAAAAACATTGAATGAGAGAGTATGTCCAAAGTTTTGACTGGTAATGTATATAAAAGGCCAAGCTCCAGTAATGAGCTCATCTTTGTGACAGGACAATACAAGCACATAGTAGTAACAGTAAATATAAGAGCAACATCAGCTTACTCTCTCTTTCTGCATTAGTGTTGCTTGTTCCAGTGATTAAAATAGAGGATAACCAAGTTAACCACGACGGAAGTGGAGGATGCAGGAAGATACTGTTGGTATAAAAGAAGAGCAGAGAAGCACTCCAACAGACAGACACTGCGTAAAAGTGCCAGAACCACCTGCAATGACAAGACAAGAGTGTTTCTTTAATAAGCCTGTGCTGGAGACAAAACATTCGTTTGGGTCACTTAATTGCCATACCTTTTTGGCACGTCAAAGACTCGCAGCCAATCATCACGTTTGAAGTTCTGCTTAGTCTTGCCGTAGCGAATAAGGTCTTGGAATATAACAACACCATATGATTTTTGGTAGTTTTTTGGTAGATGCGATAAGACTTTATATAAAACAAAAGCTACGATAAAACAGGATGCAAGGAAAGCCCATAATACGTCTATGACACTAAAACTAACCAGTTTGCTCCAAACCATTTTCTGTCGCACGGAGATGTGACTAGATCCATGGGATGTGATTGTTGTTTTGAGCAACACAAAAAAGAACCGTGTAGACACAAAATACGACATTCGTTCCGGACTGATTATGTTTTAAAGAAATTATTGGGCCAAATAAAGCTTTCTTAAAGTGGGGAAGCTAAAAGCTAACACCACCGACATTCATAAATATATTCATTATTGTTTGGCTTTTCTGCCCTAATGTAGGCTAGACTATAGAAAATAACCTTGGCTCCAATATGAACGTGTTGTTTTTCGTATGGATGCGTATAAATACGTGATTTCGAGCCAATGGTAAAAAAAAATATATATATATGTTTAGAATTTTTGATGGGTTTATTTTGATTGATTTTGCAAACTATGTAAATAGTATGACGCTAGGGGGCAGCCATTGACGAATTGATCCTAAAAGGGCTTCAATGCTACACTGCACACTGTTGCGTCAATCACAGAAAAAATTGAGCTATTTTGCATTGTTTATTATTACACACATTTTTGCATGATATGTTATAGTCCAGGGGGAGTCACAAACTTTCTTCCACTGTTTAATACACACATGCAGACACATATACATATATAAGGACCAACAAAAGTTCGACGACCGCATTTTGCCCTCAGACTGTGGTCTGGACACCTTTAGTCTATAGTTTTTGCAGAAGGTTTATAAATCCACTTATTTGTGCGTCAAAGGTAGGCATAAGTGTATATACATGCTGTATATGAAGTGATGGACCTTAGGCCTTTGAGGCTACAGATTCCAGGATGCCTCTCGGAGCACCTCAGTATCCTGTCTGAGGAAGTGTGCGATGCTTCCTCTTCCCTCCCTTCCTACTCCTTTGTGTCCTCTTCTCTTTTATTGTGCCAAGGTCTGACAAGACTATAGGCCTCTGACACATAACTAAAGACTCTGCTTTGTTTATTCATTCACAAGATTGGAAAGACTGTATGGTGATGTATAATATAATGACACTATTCTATTTCTGTCAACATTTTACAATTAATGTTTTTCAATCCATCATACAGTTGGTGGAACTAAATTCTACTTTTGTTTTGCGTTTTGATTGATTCTTGATTCATTCTGGGACAACATGATGAAATAGTCTGAGAATCGCTGTAAAACTTTGTTAAAAGGGAATTGTTGAAAGAACATTTTTGTTTGACTCGCCAGAACCCACTTTACTGCTTTGAAATCAAAAGTGTGATGTGAACAAGCACATTCCCTTTCCGAACACTGGCACTGTTTTTAAAAGAGGTCCCACTGAATGGACAATGGTCTGGAGGCATTCTTCATGTCTAATTGTGAGACAGTGACCTTTGAAAACCCCAAAACCAAAGTAGCAACACAAAAGTGCCCAAACCAGCAGGCTCTCTAACTAACAGATACATTTTGCATTTTTGTTTGTCTTGTCCAACTTTTGTTGTTTTCAAATCATCATTAGTGATACTTGGTTAAACAACTTTCAAACAGGCTTCAGATTTGGAGAAAACTGAAATGGAACTAGGTGTGTAACTCAGTAATTGCATGATCACTGCATAAAATGTTAAGGTTTGGCAAGAGGGACCCACAAAGCAGAGCCAGGACTCAGTCAAGTTTTAACAGTTTATTTTACAAACAGAAGGCAAGGAGCTGGCTGGCTTCTCCAGAGGCAACAGCAGACAACCACGGAGACACCTGGGCGAAAACAGGAGCAGGTAAGTCCAAAACAAACAACAAGCAAAACAAGTATATATCCAAGAGCCTGATAGAACGCTCCCAAACAGGACGGAATTATCTGGCAAAGTGGTGGTGAGAAGACCAGGGCTAAATACAGAGGCTGATGAAGGAATTGATTGCAGGTGTGTCTCATCTGCTCTGGAAGAAGCCAGCCACGCCCCCTGCCACACTCAAGCTCTGCAACAAAAGGGGGAGGGGGAGAGAACAAAAAAAAACAAATCCTAACATAAAAATTATTACGGAATATTTTGTCCAATGCAGCTTATATAAATAAAATAATCCTACTTTGATATTTTGTTTAGGCTGTGGTTTATCCTTTATGGATCACTGCACATTTTTTGGAAAGAGCATAAGATTATAACACATCAAGGAGTACTATGGAAAACAAACATTGAATAAAAGTGGAAAATCTTTCATTTCCATGCTCAGTGCCCTCCAGGAAGTGTTGATGTGACAGATGGCAGACAGAGAATCCCTGTAGAAGTGACCAGGTCAGGAAACATGTGGACATAAATGTACTGTACCACCCTATGTCCCCAAATGCACTAGCCAGACATCAAAAGCTTCATCACTCTTGTTCAGCAGAATTTGATAGATATAGAAATCTGTCAATCCTGTCACATGAAGTTCATAAAAGAGGAGCTGTTTGGAGAATCAAAATACTAAGCCTGCAGGTGTGGACAAGGCAACAAGTTTTCAGAGGCCTAAAAATCCGGAAGCTCAATCTTTCTCTCACTAAACATAACATGGACTTAAAAAATGTACAAAAATAGTCTAAACTGTATATAAAGCCATAAATAAAGCTGCACATAATTAGCCTAAATAAAAGATCAAATAATAGCTCTACTAAAAGGCTATAGAAAATAGCCTATGTGTAACAGGCATGGCCCCTTCATGCATGATGGGCCTTCACTGAATAGCCCAATTAGCCAATAAGGAAAAAAAAAAAAAAAAAAAAAGCAGCATTTAACCCCAGTATTTTACAGTATAGCTAGCTTTAAAATTAGCTTCAGATAGACAACCCCATATTGTTTCTCCAGGCTAAAAGATTGTGCTCATACTGATGTCTTGAGTTATCGGTTTAGTCCACCCCAGGCCTGGCCCCTCCTCTGCCGCGCGCTCTGGTCCTCTCAGCCGGATGGGACAGTGCGCACACATCACCGGACACTGGACACGAAGGACCGCATTTGGACTGCGACCAATTTACCAACATCGTTCTCGTAATTAATAAAAAATAAAACTGCGGTCAATGGATCTGCTTAGGAGCGTGCGCCTTTGATACCCGCATCAAAGTTTTTACTGTTTTTGTGGGTCCCATTGTTGGATAATGGCTTTAGCAAATTCCGTTTTGCTGCTGCTGCTTGGAATTATTGCACAAACGAGCTACGTCTCAGGTAAGAAATTCCAAACTTTTGCATTAAAACCAGTTTCCATGATTACACTGGTCTGTCTTCAAATGGAAATGTCTAGGCTAATTTACAAGTGGTTAAAGGTGCATTGTGTCACTTTTCTGGTGGACGGTACGTCAAATTCTTTGCTCCATGAAGATGTTATTGGTTTGTCTGGAATGTATCAGTGTTCTGTTGAACCTTTCTATCTTCATGGAGACCAAACCAGACCAAGTTACAGGTCAGATCTGTGGAGAGGCCCATTCATAACCCAAGTGCCTGTTTTTTTAGGCATTTTTGAGCTGTAAAACCATCTGTATTTGGATAAACATAAGGTAGAGATGTTTAAAGTCATACTGTGGAACATTCCAGGCAGAGCAATGGCATTTCCATAAAAACAAGTAGGTGATGGACCCCAACCTAAAAGTTACATTTTTAACTATTATCCTCACAGCCATTATAAAACTGCATTAGACGTTTGTAACGTTTCTAATGAGGATATTGAATGGAGGGAACATCGTTTGCTTACAATGGAGTATGAATGTAATTGCTTTTTCTGGAAAGTTCCACATTGCGGCATGAAATATATCTATCTTTTGGAGATGAGCACATGATGCCACTAGGCCAGTTGACATGTCATATCTGTGAACAGGCGAGCCTAACTGAGCTATAAAAAGAATAACCGAATAAATACAAAATGTATTATTTTAATGCCATTTTGAAAAACTTCTCAGGCAAAGCAATAATGAAGATGAGCAGGTGGCGGACCCCCCACTGGAAAAGCTACATATTACATCTTTAATTGAACTTGGTCTCTCTTAAGGCTAATTGATGACCAGAGTGGCTTGATAATAATTTATATCCTGTTATAAATTGGCAATTTTGACTATGGGACAGTAGGTGTATTTTCAGATTCTTGTATGTGATTATGTCACACTTCCTGATCGGGGCAAGAGACAGTTTTTTTCTGCTTATTTCATTGTATTCTCTTAAGAAATATCCAAAAGGTGAATTCACAAATGCTGGCTCTCATCATTTCTATTATACAACATGAACCACCTTAAACTGATTTATGATTTCATCCTAGTGGATTTCAAACGTTACTGTGCTTGCTTTTGGCATTATTAAATGACATTATCACTCACCAAATGGACATTAATGTTTAAAACCAGTAAACCTGAAAATTTATTTTACCAGTGACTTCGAATTGCCTTGGATATAACTAGTTCTGATTTTATAATAGTATAGGTCAGTCTGACTTGTTTGGCTGTCTGTACAATACTTAGGGCCTCTCGGGGAGGAGGTGGAAACAGGAACCCCACCTAAGGCCACACAGTCCTGAGCTATTGAGTCCAGACCGAGGCCTATCTGCCCCGGCTTCCTGTTTTGACACAACTCCGCCATTTTCTGCACTGTTGGAAAAATGGTCCTAGTACAAAACAAAAGCACTCAGCCCCATATCTAATCTAATTGGCTTTGTTTTGACCATATTCTTATTACTTTAGGTCAATTTTAGGCTTTCAAGCCAGTTTTATGTGTACATATTTATAACAGTTAAGGGTTGGCTTTGGACTTTTCTATCAGGACAATAACAGAATTAAAGAACAATTAAAGTATTGACCCAAAAAGCCAGTTAAGTTTTAATACTTCTAAAAGTATCTATGGGATTTCATGTAAAGGTACTTATTTTATTTTATCTGCTGCCTCTCATTTTGTTGTTTTGTTGATGCAGCTCTTGATCTTCGGTTTATGCCTGATCCACCAACTTTAAACATCTATGGCATCCACAGAATAAACAAGACAGACAATCTGCAGCTCATCTGCAGGTATTTACTGAACCTGTTGCTCTCCTACAGATATATAAAGAAATGGTAAAATCACATAAAAGCCATTAAAAAATAAATAAATAAATA